TCCCCCAGCCTCCTTTGTTTTTGGCATTAGCTTGTTTACCAGTCTGAGCAGTTCCTCAGCTTTTGGCTGTGGCTAAGGGCACCAGTGTGTTTCCTGGCTGTGGAATTCAGCTCAGCAGAGGGAGGCCTCTCTGCTGAGTGGGGCTTTGATGTTTGAATAGAAAGGAGGATTAGGATTTGAAGGCTAGTTCTGAGGTGAGGAGAACCTGTTTGCTCTAAATTAGTTTAGATATTTCAAGCCAGTGTATCACTGTTTAGTTAAGCCTTATGCAGGCATTGGTGGGATGTGCTAATTATCAAACTGTTTAGAAACAAATCCTAAAGGAGAAAGATTACACTGCCTTTGCATTAGCATGTCTACAGCAGGTATAATTTAACATTGTCAACTCAGTTCAAACAGACTGGGAATTTGGCTGCCTGTACAGTGTGGGCTGTTTAGTTATTTTGTCTTCTGTTGAAGTCCTAAGCAGTAATTTCTTATCTGAATAGAGCTATACAGAATGGGTTCACTGTAAACAGGAAAAAGACATAATTACATTGGTTTAAATTCACACCACAGGTCACACCAAAAGATGTCCTTGTGTAAACAAGGCTTGTGTTTGTCCGTACAGCTGGGTTCAGCTGTACCCATTGCTGACATCCATTGTCAGCAACAGATCATTTTTGTAGTATAGCCAAGGCTTTGAAACAAAGACGATAATCAGTCTTGTTGCATAGCTTGGTGACAGAGGTGTCATTATACTGATGGACAAAGCAAAGTGGTGTTTTAGCCCTGTGTAGCAAGAAGCAGCAAGAATATTGGTTGGCGCAAGTATTTTTCTGTATTTTTGTTGCCAGCTGCTAAAGATTTACTGTGAACTCATACCATACTTTCACAAGTCTTGAAATATTGTTTCCTTTTTAAATATAATAACTAAAAAAATTAAAATCAAAACACCTTGATGAACCTTTTTTATTTAAAGTACTTCTAGCTTTCTTGAATTGTTGTTTATACTTGTAAATACTACTGTGACACAAGTAACAGATGTTTAAAAGTGAGTTTTCATATTTGGGAGACTCCTAGTTCTTTGGCACGTGTGCAACTCTTAGATGGGGAGGAGCAGAAGGCATACTGCCCAAAGGAGGGAGAGCGCTCTTCGGCAGCATTATTTGTTGTGATATTCACAGAACAAAGCTGTATTTCATTGCTGCTGGGGGAAAATTAAAAGCACGATGACAGCTTTTTGGTGTTTGCAATGGATAGATCCAGGGCTCTTTGTAGTACATGTGCTATAGTTGCATACCACTTCTTCAAAACTTCATTTCAGTTTGACGTACTCATATGGAGACTGAAAAAAATAACTTATAACATGGTAGGACCAGGGTGCATAACAGAGGTTGCAACAGGAACTGGGACAAAAAAAACCCTTACCGTTGGAATTTGTGGTTTGATGTGCAAAGTTGAATGTGGCCTTATCCCGTTACTGTTCCTCTGGGATTCCAATGGAGGACATTGCAACACAGTGATTGACTGTAAAGTGCTTAAAAATCGTATCCAGCAAATGGAGAAGCAGTGTATTTCATGTTGTTCTTTTATATTTTTTGATGAATAAACATCTTAACTGAGAAGTAGGCTTTAAAAAGTACAAGATCTTGCTTTCTGTTCGAGCTACACTGTTGTCAAACCATTGTCTGTCTTGCTTCTCCGGCAAAGATGGGCATTGATTCTACAGCTCATGCTGTAGCTACTGTAACTGAGAGATTGTCCTACACCATTTTCAAGAAGGGCATTGCCCCAGCCTTTTCCTCAATGTTGTTATACTAGAAGTGCAACAGTGGTTTCATGTGAAATAAGTGTTAAGGATGTATGCAGTTTAGGATATGATAAGAAGGGTTTAGTTTGGGCAATGGTTTCTTCTGCCTGGTGAGTTGTGAACTTGTGCTACTTGTGGTTTTATAATTTATACGTATGTAAAGCATATCAAACAGCTATACTTAAAAGTTTTCCAGAAGAAAACACCAAGCAAACCATAACAAGTGCTTAATGCGGGCTCCATGTGTATCTGGAAAGCCTTTTACTCTAGCAGTGCTACCATACTAACTCTCTTCACTGTTTCTGTTGAAGCATAGGTCTGTTGAACCCAGCCCAGATAACTTGTTGAGGTATTTATTTACAGCAGAATGTCTTGGGTTTGTTTGTTTCTTTCTTTCTTTCTTTCAGTGGAAACCCTACTTTCTGCAAATAATGTCCGTTTCTCCAGATGCTTTTTATTCTTTGAATGTGAGGGATATTCTACTCAGATTTTCTTGCCCTTTATCAGCTTATCTTTACGGTGATTTCCCAGTGAGTCAGGGAAACCCAGTACTTTATTAAAAAACTCTATCACCTTTTAGAAAAAAGTCTTTGCTCTTAATAAACAATAGCAAACACATGCACAGTTTTGGTGCACGTAAGTCAATTGAAGACAATTGCAAGATTGAAATATCCCTTTGTTGTTTAAAAACAATGTAGTTTCAGAATTTCAATATTCAACTTCAACTAGTGAAAGTTTCTGATAGGTGAATGAAAGAAAGTATTATTAAGATGATGTTCTCCTTTGTCGCTCTTCTTTGTTTTTCATCTTGTTCTATTCTACAGGAATTTGTTATAGAGCAGTATTGAGCAATAAGAAGAGCAAAGTCTATCCCTGCCTGTGAGAATAACTGTGTGTTTATATGAGCCTATCTTGTAACAATTCACAAGTTGGTTCTTAGAGTACTGTTTGGTAACAAGAAGACTTTGATAAAATTACAGTTGATTCCAGAACTAACACCTTTTAAAATGTGTTTTTACCTTTTACAATTATCTCTCTGGTAGAGGCATCATTCAGTATTTGTCAATTACATGAAAATATTAATTAAATTCTTTGCATTAGAGCGTTCCTTAAAAAAAAGGTAACCAAAAAATAACCAGAACATACAACCTGTAAAAAACAAAACTACCTTGAACTAGATTCATTTCACAGGGCTTGATGATTTTGAGAAATTATTTGCCTCCTTTTTTAAGGCAACAGTATAATTTGGATATTTGATTTTGTTTGGTTGTGTTGTCATGATTCAACACTCAGAGTTACCAGTTCTGGAACTTCAGATATTTTTAGAGTAACATGCCTTGTTAAGCACTGCTGGGTTGCTTATTGCTGTTCAGACCACTTATTCCAAAAAAGTAGTTGGAGCAACAGTGTATATAAGCATTACACCTGAAACTAAACATTCTCCTTTTTAATTTAATGGGTGTCAGCACTTTTTCATCTCTTTTGTTTTCAGTGTGATGAGAACTGTACCATACTGGGCAGATTCTGGCACTGTGAACAGCAGACTGAATACCTAGCGTTTAGAAATTACTTCTCAGTATAGCCTATGAATAATTTTTGTCTCATACTACAAGGGGAAGAAAAATAGTAGCTACAGTAACAAAAGGACTGAACTAATTGAGTAACAAAAATTCAAGCATTTTAATAGATGTGGGAGGACTGGATTACTAACAGTCGCATTGGAGAAAAACGCTGCACCGTCTGTTCCTCTGGAAGCTTATTGCTATGTGTTTATAATAGCAACCACTTATCCTGAGGCCTGTGTACCTTGCATTGGGCAAGAAAAAAATATTCTGTGGCCTGCCTTTCAGTGGCAAGCTTCTTCACTTAACGTCTGTAAAACTCAATGCCTCTAGTTTCAGGGTATTCTGTGGCAAGGGTTGTGTCTCTGCCCAGAAGGTTGAGTGGTGTCTCCTTCATCAGAGTTGAGAAGCTCTTATGTCGCTAGGCATTGATTATGAGTTTTGGCGTGGTTTTCCTATTTTTGCCCCTTAGAAGTAGTGCTTGTACATCCAGAATCCCAGCATGAGAGACCAGTAAAAGTGCCAATGACAAAATGAAACAATAGCTTCTTTTGGAGTGAGCAGCTGACAGAACATGTAACCATTTGAGCACTGCTTGTGCAGTCCTGGAAGTCTAAACTAGTGGTGGTTTGCTTCTCCTTCTTCGAGTTAAGCCATGCCTGCTCCAAAAATGCCTCTCCTAGCATTTGACTCCTCCTTCCCCACTATTCCCATACCATCTCCACATCCTCCTTGTGTTACTGTGTGGTGGGCTTTGTCATATAGCTAGCTCCACAACACTACTTTATGAAAAGATATTTTTAATAATATTGGACAGAAAAATATAAGAATTCTGAATTGCAGTCTTGGGTTTGGTTTTGGTTTTTCTTTGGCAATTTTTTTTTTTTTAAAGTCTAGTAAATTAGTAAAGCAGCAGGATGTAGTTCACTCATGTATCCTAGAGATTTGATAAGGGGCAGAGTTGTTGTTACTTGAGGTAGTTGCCTATAGGTCTTTTTGGAATGATGCTCTACTCTACATAGTGCTAGGTGGTGTGATTTTTTTAGCCTCTAGAGATGGTGTTTGTTTTACCTCCCCCTTTCTAGAAAATAATGTTAAACCTCCAAATCTCAGTTTTGTTTGTGTCACATTTATATCACTCCTAAACGAGTCTTCTAATTTACTGAGAAGAGTGCTCTGTGCTTTGATGCTGCCGTTGTGATGGTTTTTTTCTCCAGTAAGATGTAAAGGGGATAACTCTTTTCTTCAGCCATCCGCTCTCGACCCTTGAAACCAAGACAGGGTGATGACTGCCAAGCAAAGGACTAAAATAAAGTTTATGTCAAATATCGTATTTTTTTTCTGGTTGTAAAGTATCGCATGACTTCATTGATGAAAATTAATCCATTTCACTTATTACAGTTTGACAAGGCTTTGTGCTTCTTCTCCTGCTAGCCATCTGTGGATCAGTGGTTTATTGCACTGAGGCCGAGCAAGTGATCATGGCATAACTTGCAGCAATTATGTGCACTGTGTTAGATCAGCTATGTATGCTGACACTGACTTCTGCTGTGTTTAAAAACAGTTTATCTTGTACTGGTAGGGATGAGGGAAATCTTCTAGTTTTATTACAGTATTAACATATTGGTGTTGTAATTGACTTCCAGGTTGCATCACAACGCATAAGCTCAGTGGATCTTTCATGCTGCAGCCTGGAGCACCTGCCTGCCAACCTGTTTTATAGCCAAGACCTCACTCATCTCAATTTAAAACAGAACTTCCTGAGGCTAAACCCCAGCCCATCCACAAGTAGAGCGCTTAGTGAATTACAGAGGTAAGTGGTTCTACTGGTCTTCCTCTGTCCTTGGAGCTATGATCTGCAGGAACTTTCCTAAAAATCACTACGTCCTCTTGTGGAACATTGGCCTGACTGTAATGCTTCAGAAATTGGTTAACTTTGTGTGTTAGAAACAGACTTGCTTTCATAAGAAACTTAATGTTTTTCTTGTAAATAGGAGCATGTTTTCAATCCAAAATGCAGTTTTCAGAATGTGGTTTTATCTGCTGAGGCCAACCTGTAGTTCTTCAGCCTTTGACTCATGTGAGTGAATATGAGTTGGTGAGCTGCCCATCAAAGGGAGGCATTCTAGGTAGGATCAGTACTACGTGTGACTAAGTGAAGAAGTTTTTTGTTATCCCTCAAGCAAAGAAAGCCCTGATTTCATACATTCAGCCTGGTTCCTGTCCTCTTTCTACTTTGCTCAGTCCTAGTTCTTTTTTCTTAGTAACTGTCTCCTTCCAGTTGTTCTTTCCACTGCAGCTCATCCAAGATGTAACAAATGGGTAGACAGCAGCATGAGTGGTGATCTGAATGATTTAATGTATGTGTTCTGTGGAATCAGCAGGCTTTCTGTATTCAGAAAGATGAATGTTTTCCATACTGAATAGAAAACTGTGATTTTAATTTCAGTGGTAACTGAATTGCAGAGTACCTCAGGATTGTATTTGTGGATGGTCCTGTTCAAACAAAATGTTTTAAACCACATCTCTAAATCCCTTCCTCTTTGAAAAACAACTGAAAAATACAAGATGGATTATGTGGGCTGTTATATTTTTATATAATTCCAATTTTGTTCTGGGAAAACAAAAAAATTGGCATAATGGAAGATGAATGAACCCAGCAAGTCTGCTTCACAAACAAAGCAGGCAGTGATTCCAAGAGCTTAGGAACACAGTCTGGAGAGGAATACTGACTGGATTAAATGTTCTGTGAATGTCAGTATAGGTCTCCAGATAGCAAGTGCAATTTTAGCATACATTAGGTGGTGAACGTGGAGAAATATCGAATGCCTTATATTTTAATGACTTTTTATAATTTTTCCTTTTTAAATATCAGGAAGCGTAGAGGAGATACTTGATTATATTTTGTCCATGTACCTACAGCTAGTTCTCTTTGGGATTAGAAAGCATTGATAAGTATTGTGATGGGCAATATTCATTCTCTGTTCAATGTTCTCTTGGTACTGCAGTTGTAGGAACACAACTTAATAAACTGTTAAAATTTTTCTCACTAACATGAGCCTGAACGTATAAGAGTGAAGAAGTTCAGGTGACTAAATAAAACTCTCCTGTTTTCTGAGATTCTGCATGAGGAAAATCTGGAGAAGTGGAATATACCTGAGGTGGTGCAGAACTGATTTTGAGCTGTGATTCTTCTGTGAGCTGGTCCTATTCTGTCAGCGAGTAATAGGCTTCTCTGCCTCCATTGCTTTGAGCTTGTCAAGAAGGCACGAGGAAGGTCTGTGAATTCCTGGAGAAAAAAAATAAATTATTAGTGAGGTTACATGGCACTGTTTTGGTGGATCAGAATCAGTGCCTCAGGAACTCCTGCCCCTTGGTGCTGACCTTTCCTTTGCCACTGCTGATGTCCTCCAGCCTTATCTTCATGCAGCACAGGTGGCATCACCCGGACAGTGAGTAGCTGGAAGCTACTGCCACTGTTCCCATTGCTGTGCCAGTGGAAAGGGTTGAGTGGAAACCCCTGCTGAGGTTTAAGAAAAGTGGTGCCCCATCAGTTGTCTTATGCCTCCCAACAGCAGCAAAAGCATGAGCCTGGCCCTGGAATGTACTCCCAAGCAGTTTTTCTTCCTGCCCTAAGAAACACAGTACTGGCTTTCCCTTGGAGTGGGAAAACTTGAGTTTTATTTGTGTTGCCAAAAATCTTTGAGCCAGCTCGACTGCTACTGTAAGACTGCTTTTCTGCAGTGAATAAGCACACAGATATAGAGCAAGAGGGGAGCACCGTGTCTTTTTGAAATTACTAGTAAATCCCAGTATCAGAACATGTGCAAAGTGAAGAGAAGCTCAGTCATTCCTGTGAACACAAGTTTTGTCTGACTTTTTTTCTCTTTAATTCAATTTCATAAAAACATTTTCAGATCCTTTTAGGTGTTACATAAGGTAAAACTTCACCGAATAAACAAAAAGTCTTTTTTTGCTAACTCATGTTGTTTTGAACCATTGCAAAGCAAGTACAAAATCTCTGCTGTTCTGATTTGGTGCTGTTGGCTTTTATACCAAATTCTCATTTGCTAAATTGCAGCTGCATACCGGGCACGGCACCAGTGAATCAAATGTAAAGGTATTTAAGGCTCCAAAATAGCCGTGTTTTCACATGTTGTGAACAAATGCATTGTAGTCTGCAACTTCCTTGTGAGAGGGAAGAGAAGGGGCAGGCACTGATCTCTTCTCTGTGGTGACCAGTGACAGGACCCAAGGGAATGGCCTGAAGTTGTGTCAGGGGAGGTTTAGGTAGAATATTAGAAAAAGGTTCTTTACCCAGACGGTGTTTGGGCACTGGAACAGTCTCCCCAGGGAAGTGATCACAGTACCAAGCCTGGCAGAGTTCAAGAAGCATTTGGATGATTCTCTCAGGCACATAGTATGACTGTTGGGAATGGTCCTGTGGAGGGCTAAGGGTTGGACTTGATGATTCTTGTGGGTCCTTTCCAACTCAGCATATTCTGTGATTGTGATTGGCATTTATATACCTACCCTTCCTGGTACAGTGTTCGATTAAAATCTGGTTACCAAAGCAGTCTAGGAAAATTTGTCTTGCTAAGCAGCTCTTGGTGCTAGTTCCTTTTAATAAATCACTCTAGGTGGTAATTTAACGAATGCTCATGAAGGCTGAATTTTAAAACAAGTATGTCAAAGACACAAGAAAATACCAACTTTTCAGCAATGCACTGAGTAGGTTTGCAAGCAGCTGAGTCATAGTAATGAGATGCTGACATATGCACTGTCTTGGTGGGTACTGTCAGTAATGTATTGCAGAAAAAAATAATTTTATTTCTGTTTATGCAGTTACTTCTTTCATTTCTTAAAATAATATAATTTATTGCATTTCCAAATAAAATGTTTAGTCCTGCGAAATACATGGTATGTGAAGGTGTGCAGAGGTGTAGATGCACTTTGTTTGTGGTAGCTTCACTTCGACTTGCTTTACTGTGCACTCAAACCCATTTTGTTGCTGTAGATGCTCTACAACTGTGAAGTTGCAACTGTCTGAATGTTGAAAGGTATATACAGCTACCTCTATTTTTCTGCTGCTTATCAGGGAATACATATTTCATACTATGTATACAAATAAACTATCTGAAAATGCATCTGTGCTGAAAAAAGCAGCAAATGTTGGTACTTGTTCTCCCTCACAAAACTTTTTTTTAAAATTATAGGAAAGGATGTCTCTTTTGAAGAAGAGAGGAGATTCCCCAGTTGAAATGCTGACAAGAGTTCAGGCTTGCAGACTTGCTAATTTTGCAGAGTACTGTTGCTCTAGGTTTGAAGCAAATGAATAAACCGTAGTCTTTATTTGCTGCTGCTCTGCTTCACCAGGCTGAGCGTGCTTTATGTTTATACATAATTGTTTTAGTCAGTGCTCTTGGAAAAAGTGGTTGGCATCAATAACACTGTTTGCTTGTTAATATTGAAAAGTAAGTTGTCGGTATGTGGTTTTTTAATGTATGACTGCTTCAGATTTAAAAGAAAAAAAAGAAAAAGAAGAAAAGGGGGATATAATAAGGCAGAAAGTTGTTTTAACAATAAATAAAATTGTGCTTGCCAGTTTTATCTAAAGAACGATTTGTTATTCTGATTGTGGTTGTTAATCGTTAACAGTGATTATATGGATTTTTACCCTAAGATCGGTTGGTAGCTTTTCTCTCCCAGAGCCTCTTTAGACATGAGCTGCCTTCTCTGGCATCTCAGCTGAAACTCTTTGGGTCTAGTGACAGTAATTTGAAGTTGCATCTGTAGGTTATGAGAAGGCCACAGGACTCTGAATTACCGATGCAAGTGTTTCTGAAATCCCTTGCAACTCCAACTGTTTGTCTGAAAACCCAGGATTTCAGGAATCCTCAAGCTGAGACCTCCTTACAAACCCACTGTGTATTACGTAGGTAATTGAAAATATAATCTTTGTTCCAAGAACGCTTGGACAGTGAGGGGGAACCAGTATTAGCGACCTAAGTAGTATGAACCCAGCAGGCAGGGTTGCTAGAAGTTGATCTTAGCTTGTCCCTAGAGATTGAGGAGCAGGGAAGAAAGTCTCCAGCCTGCCACTTCATTGGCCTCAGAGTGCATTGAAGCTACTCCTTGTGATTATTGCTTTTATTTTATGAACCTGAGGTTAGTGAAGAAAATCGGATGGGTTAATGACATGTCAAATATACATCTTCCCCCTTGTCAGGCCCCACAGGGCACTACCAATAGATGGGAAAGATTTGAGCTTTCTTTCTTTTTTTTTTTTTTTTAAGGTTTTTTGTTGGGTTGGGGGTGGATGTGTTTGTTTGTTTACTGTCTTTTGTTGTTTATTTGTTGTTTTGGTTTGTTTAGTTTTTTTGTAGGATTCAGATGTTATTTAAATGAACCCGGCTAATGTGTGAAGCATGCAAAGAATGGAGTGCCATTGCACGCTTCATGGTGCGGGAAGATGTTGGGAGCTTTCTCTCACACTCTGTTGGTCTTGGAGCCGAGGAACCTTACATTTATACTAGCTTCTCACCTTTCACTCAAATCAAATACTGAAGCATAGCCATCTAAGCAGTAGGGCAAGAAGGAGAAGTTGGCATGTTATTGGCAACCTAGGTCTGCTAATAACAAACAGAGGTCTACTAGTAACAAACCCCATCCAGTGTTTGCTATATTCTGATGCTACACTTATTTTCTCATCTCTGTATCTTTGGAATATTTTTTTTTATATTTATAATGCTAAAGATGGCACTTGGAATTTGTTGTTTATGTAACTTCACTGCTTATGTTTTATTCAGCTTG